CAAGGCTTGTGGATACCCCAAGTGGGCCTTCGCCAAAGCAAGGAAGAACCTAAAAACCTAGCCCAGTCCTAGTCTGATCAAGTTATTTCAGCTTACTATGACCTGGATGACTGAGAATCAGTATAACAAGCGTAAAATATGCCAAATGATCTAAAGATAACGAAACTGTGATTATGTGACTATTATACACCGATCAGCCATAACATTATGACCACTGGCCGGTGAAGTGAATAACACTGACTATCTGTTACAGTGGACCCTGTCAGTGTGTGGGGTATATTAGGCAGCAAGTGAACATTCAGTCCTCGAAGTTGATGTGTTGGAAGCAGGAAAATGGGCAAATGTAAGGATCTGAGTGACTTTGACAAGGGCCAAACTGTTTTGTAGCAGCGAATGCCAGCCAGTGTGCTGGAACTGTTCTCTTCATTGCACATTTTTTGTAGTTTGTTTTATTTTTATTCATGAAGTGAAATAAATGTGTGCAATATGTGGTCAACATCAGTGAGTCTCTAAATCTATTCTGTTGTGTATAGTGTTATATATGTCAAAATCTGCTTCAACATTTTACATAAGTTTTCCACTGAATTGTACACATCTATGCTCTTCTTGACAGCAGAACTGTGGAAGTAAACGGATTCACAGAAGATGCACAGTGAGCTGCAGAGCGACACGAGTGCCAACCAAATGCCACATTGACTCCTGTGTACACAGTATTAGGCAGGTGGTCATAATGTTATGGCTGATCAGTGTAGAGCCAGAGAAACTCCTTTTAAGGAAAAGCAGAATAAGTGGAGACATGTCTTTGTCAGTCCTCACTGAACTGAACGTTGAATGAAAACAAAAGTCGGTGCAATTCAAGCAGAAATCTCAGAGAAAACACCTCAACTGGAAGATCATCATTCATTTGCTTCATTTCCAGGCTGGCACAGTGATCTGGATCGGCATCCTGGTCTATACTGACCCAGCCGGAATTCGCATCTACCTGGCTGCTCAGGTGTCTGAGCAAAGCCCTTTGGGAGATCCTGGAGCGGGTGGTCTGCCCCCTCACCTGGGTGTGGCTCCCGTCTTCCGTGCTGGAGATCCTACCAGCACCCTCGACATCCACCCTGCACCAAATCCAACACCCTTACCTGAGAACCAATCACAGGGCCACCATGGCTCAGCCAGGGCAGGACACCTTCCCCAGGTCCCGCCCGCTGTGCCTCAGATTACCTGGGGGTCGGAGGACGAGGAGGTTTGGAGGAGGCTCTCCTACAGACACTGGCCATCACTCTTCAGCTACTACAACATAACTTTAGCTAAGAGGTGAACTATGCCGCAGACCTGTTTGGTGTTCATCAGTCACACAGTTGTATTTTTGTTTACCCCAAAATGAATTGATTACCTAAGTGAGTCCTTTTAGTTTGACAAGTAATTGACAAGTGTTTGATCAGATGTCGTAAGTGGATCAGGATACGCTGCATATGCACACAAGATGGCATACTATATTTTTTAGCTTGTTTAAAAAAAAGACAATGATTAAAGTATTCAGCCCATTTCACTTTTTGGTGGTTAAAATAGCAGTTTTATCCATTTAAAATAAAATCTACAACAAAGTTTGCAGAAAGACTTCATAATGGTGCTTTGGCCAGTTTGAGATTTTGCATGGATGGCTCCCATCAAGTTTTGTTAAATTGTCTGTGTTACTGTCCGTCCATGTTCAGGTACATCAGCATCTTACCCGTCATTCCTGTCACTGTGCACCTGAGTCCCCAGGAGGCCATTGAGACGCGCCACCCTCAGGACACAAGACACCCTCCGCCACCCATCGTCAAAGTCTCTGCAGATATACAGACGGACCTGACGCTCTATAAGTTAGTACAGACATGCTTCCATCTAAATGTAAAAATGAAACAGACTAAAATGACTCTAACAGCTCTGTGGTGGGAATCAGTCATAGCAGAGCATCATATATCTGACGTTGCTAAATCCAAAGTCTAACTAAAATTGAAAGTGAGCTAAATAAGTCGGTTTCAGAGGCGTAACAGAAGTTTTTTGTTGTTGTTGTGAAATTCAGACACGTGCTTAGGCTAAGATGAACTGCTCTCTCACTTCAGAGCAGCATTCTATTAAAATATGTCAGCCTCACTTAAAAAAAAAATATGGCAGTAAGTCTTGGGGACTGACCAGCTGTGAGTAAATGTGTTTTTAGTGTTCTTGTCTTCAGGGATACTGATCAAGAAAGTAAATTTATCCTTCTAAAATGTAGACTGGACTGAAGTATTGCACAATGCAGTGACTTGCTTTAACAGTCAGACAGGGCCTACAGCAGGAAAAGGTCCTTGGCCTGGTTCTTTTCACCAGAGTGTCATTGAACTGAGAGCTGAAGCAGTAAAATAGAGGAGGTGATCTGGGGCTGAGGTCATGTAGAGCTGTCACATTTACCACTTGCCCAAGGTATGAAATTCTAATAAGAATTTAAAGAATTTAAAAATAAGAAGCGTGTAGGAACCTTGGGGTTTCAGTGTTTGATGGATTTTGAAATACAGTACACAGGAAGCATTTCTTTAACATGTAGAGGAAAGGAACAAAACAGGTGCACTGTGTCAAGATAGCTGTCTTAGGCAAAAATAGAGACAAGCAGGTTACTGACCAGACCAGCCTGGCTGACTGGCTGCTTTAAAGATACCAGTGATCTTTTGCTGTAGCAGTGATGTAGAAGATGGTTCAATCTGTATAGTCTCAACTTGGTAGAGGGTTTTTCCTTTGTTTTGAGTTTTATTTCACAGTTTTATTGAAGGTGAAGAAAGAAACTCAGAGGCCACAGTTTGTGCTGTGTCACTCACAGAAGTTTTAGGCCATGATGCTGTGCAGGTTAATATTTAAGTTAACCTAAAGAAAGACAGAAAACAAATGCATCACTTTATGTATGTTTTTTTTATTTGATGTACTTTGTCATTTTTGGTATCTTTGCTGGCTAAAGAGGTGATCAGTCTTATGATGTTTCTTATTTGGCATCATTGCAGCATTTAAAATTTTAGAATTTTTGAAGATTCCTTTCCATGAAGAGCTGTAAGCTGCAGCATATAGTCTTTTACTGCTTGAGGTGTTTCAGACTAGGTTGACAGGGCTAAGATCTATCAGCTTTTTTGGCTCAGTTTATAGTGATGTCTTTCAGTAAATGTTAGACTCAGGCATAGCCAGGAGTACCAGCATAGAGTTAAGGTGAAGTTGGGGGTCGGGTAACTACGGTGGCCGACACGGTCACAACACATGCAAAAGACACAACACATGCAAGACACAAACGCGGTATTGAACAAAACACATGCAAACGAAAAACGCTGCATTAACCAAAAAAACACATGCAAGACAGAAACGCGGCATTAAACAAAACACATGCAAAAGGAAAACGCTGCATAAACCAAAAAACACATGCAAAAGGAAAACGCTGCATTAACTGAAAACCACATGCAA